AAGGGATAATTCCCCTGTAAATGTAAACTCAGACATTATTTACTCAACCTCATGTTGTTCCAAACATGAACGTCCTTTTTCTGTGAAACACAAAAGGTGAAGTTTTGATGAATGGTCTGCTGATTTATTCATTTATTTTCAAAATGCATGGGGACCAGTATTATAAAGCTATAGAACGGATAAAACAACAGTACAAGTAAAAAGTGGTGCATAGCTTGTGTGAGATAAAAAAATGAAATTTAGATCACTAAACATTCAGCTTGACAGCTATGGTCACCATTCCCTTTCATTGTATGGAAAAGAGCAGCTTGAACATTCTTCTAAACATCTCCTTTTGGGTTCCAGAAAGAAACTAATAGAGGTTTCAAAAGACATGAGGATAAATACATAGGGAAATAATAATGAGGGAAAAAAATGTGTCTTGTAACAGGGATTCAAGATAGAGAGGCGGTGTTTTCTTAAGTGGTCCAACGGCTCACTGGACAAAACCTGTGCATCTTCATCTGATTAATGACTATCCTCTGTCTAATAAACAGTAATTGAATGGTCTACTGCAGAGGGCCTGAAAGGCTGGGAGAGCTGATCGCAGCCCGTTCTATCGTCTGGGGGTTGATTATAGTTGACCTTGTGTGAAGCGCACTTTGAAACAGTGAGCCTAGGCTGGGAAACAGTAGCCAGAGAGCAAAGCAGAAGATAAATGAACAGATATTGTATTGACACGGAAAAAGGAGATCAATAACCTGATCAATATCTATTTGATTTTTATCAGAAAACTCTGTGGAGGAGGAAGACGATTGATCAAACGTGCCAGGGCACATCGGCATATCTAACAATATTAATTAAGAAAAACTGCTTAGGTGACTGATTGCTAAATCAGTCAATATTGTTAAAATCAAAACAAACGATTGCTGCATTCAGATGTGTAGCCTTATTCTTTCTCATGATGGATTTACTGTAAGCTTTGTACTATAGTAGTTGTCTTAACATGCTGAACGAGTCCATAAGCATAGTTACGGTATGATAATAAAAGTTAATAGAGGGTATAATAATTACTCTTGAATATTATGTTGTAAATTATTGCCGTTGAATCGAGTCAGAGTTCTTTATCGTTATTTGATCAAATTAAAATATGAAAATAAAAGCTAATTCAAAAAATTAATAAATAATATAACAGTATAATACAAAATATAATAACACTGTTGATATCCAAGTTTTCACGTTAATTATAAGCAAAATTAAAATTATTATATTTTAAACAGCAACCATATGTAAAATAAAATTGGACAAACAAAACTTACTTCAGCAGATTTATTTGTAAGTGAACTATATAGTAAAAATTTACTATAAACTAGGGCTGTGCAAAAATTAATTGCGATTAATCGCATCCAAATTAAAAGTCTGTGTTTACATAATATATTTGTGTGTGCTGTATATAATTATTTTGTATATATAAATACCTATGCATGCATGTATATATTAAGAATTATTTGCACTTAAATTCTGTATATATAAATACATAATCTATATTATATAAATATTTTATATATGAATAACACATTTTCTTAAATATATACATGCATGTGTGTTTAATATACAAAATAATTATATACAGCACACACAAATATATTATGTAAACACAGACTTTTATTTTGGATGGCGATTAATCGCAATTAATGTTTGCACAGCCCTACAATAAACAATATCTTGATGTCTTCCTGACAGCTTAGCTTTTCTTTTATCTATGGGCTGGGGTTCAGTGTGTGTTAATGCAAATCAAAAATGGCATCATTTCTGTTCAGAAGGCTGTTCTGACTAAAACACTATCATATAATTGAATCTGTTCATCAATAAAAAGGCGCAACTTTAGTAACAGTAGCAGAGGTTGGGATATAATTCAAAGGCCCGTCAACGATGAGGTAATATTTATTTTGACGCATGACTCATATGTAGTGAATGAAATGTTTTAAGAAGCTTTCAAATATGTCATGCTTTTAAGAAGCCTTCTTATTTTACATGCTTTTAAACATCAGAGGGTCTAAAGGACATGGGCACTTTCTCAGCAAAGCAGCACTTTTACATTGCGATTGCTTACTTAGCTCAGGTTCCAGCACACCAAGAGACTTGTAATGCTTTGTTCTCATGTGAACACAATGCAGCTCCCATTGTAAAATATATCAACTGGATGACAGCGGATTAATACCGTCACCTCGATATGCTGCAGCTCAGCAGCCTCATAATAACTCATTATCACAAAATATCTATGCCATAATATACACGTTACTGTCAGATTTTTATGAAATAGATCTCTCCGAGGGTCATAATCAAGCGTTATGATGCAGGATAATAAACACGGCCGGACAGGAAAAGAAGAGCGTGTCGCAGCTATGTGTGCAATGGGAATACAAGCCTTCAGCGTGCGAATATTTATTGGACATTGTTGAGTGCTGGGGAACATGGTTAATGGTTAACATTACGCAGTCCTTCCGAGCAAGAGCAAGATTAGCACTTACATGTCTTTAGTGCCGGCACTGTGAACGGTCATAAAACGGACCCCTCATCTGCTCTTGTAAATCAAATCATTTTTGAGCGGTGATGATGGTTCTGCCAATTAACTGAGACTGGACTGGTGAGAATTACCACTCACTAATACACATGGCCCATTCCTGAGATCTATAGCCTTTCCTCGATTTGGCAATCTCCATACAGGACTAAATGTGATAAGAAATGAATTATTCTATTGATGAGGTCCTTAACAAGGTAATAACCGCACTCCCCAGTCAATAATTATTTCGATAAGAATATCTCTATTATGAAAATGCAGACTACAGCAGAAAGTCACAGCACCAAAACAATACCCTGTGGTGTAATTGCCTTTGTCTGAAATTATAGTTTTCATTAAATGGAATGCTGCATGTTATTGATTGTTTAAATAAGACTCGATATCTTCCTGTTTCAAAGCACTGTGAAATTGCATGGCATTGTAATATTCCAAAGCATTGTTGTGTCTGTTCATCAATGTTATGAGATTCGCACTATAACGAGTCAAGGACTATTGGCCACAGTAAATGCTGTATCTAAATGGACTAATTTGATGGGGTTAGAACACAGACAAAAAAAAAAAAAAAAAGAAGAAGCAAATCACTGCCTCTCTCCTCCTGACCACATCTACTGTGTGAAAAGAACGGAGAGTGGAATAAGATAAGACTTATGCTGTGTTCCATTCATAGTCGATGTGGGCTATTTCAACTAAGGCAATAACCCAGCTAACAGGGAATGGTCTCAGAACATTGGCTATTGTCCTGGCAAGATTTTTCTCAAAATTATGAACAAACATTCTTCCAGTAACGTTAACAGAACATCCGTTCAATGTTAACCTGTCTTTAATAATGTTCCACCAGTCATGAGCTCCATACCTTTGGTTCTGGTTGATCTAATGACTCGTCCCTGCACTCTCCATGGTTGTTGAGTTGGAGGTCTCCTGCTGACTCCTTCATACTTAAGACATGGTCTGAGATCTGTTGATGGGCATTGAGGTTAGGTTTACTAAATTACCTTCTTAGAGACTGGTCAAAGCACAATAAAGAAGACTAAAAGTAAGAATAGACATTCAGATCCTACATGTATGCTGAGAAGGCATTACTAGGGTGCAAAATAAATTGTCTTTGACCTTATTGGTTTTGGAAGGGTATGACCTTGGTGTAGCTGACCTTGAATTTGGATGGGTTGGGATGTTTTTGGCAGGGCTGTCACCAACACTTTCTGGTCGGGAGTTTTGTTCCTCCTCAATTTTTACTTTCATCTGTGGGAGAAGAAAGAATTCAGATTTTTTATTGCTACATCCTAGTTTTGGTATTCAATAAGTACAGTATATTGTTTATTGGTTATCATCTTCACCTGTTCTATGGGAAGATCCACCTTCATATTTTCATCTTCAAGGACTTCAGATGCTATTACTGCCTCCATCATTTTGTTGGTGGCTCTGAAGACACTTTTTCTGGAGAGGGTGATAAATCCTGATTACATGGTGATGTTAGATGCATCCATCAGTATAAACAACAAATGCAACATATGCAATATATATATATATATATATATATATATATATATATATATATATATATATATATATATATATTCAGTTTGAATAAAACAAAGATTATTGCAGTACATTTTACAAGGAAATACTATATGAGTCTTTCTAATAATTTCATGTTTAATTTAAGTTTAGTTTTAGTTACTTGTTTCTTAAAAAAAAAATAGCTGTCTGAATGAAAATTGTTCAAAATCCTAAACCATTTTTTCCGCTGTATGACAGAACACATTTATAATCAGAAGATAAGAGACAGCAGCAAAAAGCAGGATTGATCCATTAGAAAGAACCTTGAGACACTATTTCCACAACTGAGTTTCACTGTTCGCAGTGCACATAAGAAAATGACATTGTAAATGGTCAGGCTCTGTTGGGGCTAACTACAAATCAATTAATGCTTGTTACAAAACAATCAATATCTTCTCTCAAAAAGCAGAAGATTAACACAGACAAAGAAAAAAAAAACCTGTCTACAGATGGACCGTCTTGTTTTCGGCAGACAAGACATGAGGGGTTGAAGTGTTAAACACTCTTCAGCATTACCCAAAACACTTCGCATCAAATCAAGTTGGTCTGAGCTCAGCACTTCACAAAGCATTTAATGGGCTTTCTCGATCCTGAGATGCAAACTGCATTGGTTGGTGCATTTGACATTCAAAGGTAAGACAATCTTGGCTAATGATAGGCTGACAGCAGATGCACTCCACCAGTAGGTGATGGGAATAGCATTCGCAGTCATGGCATGTTTGATTACCCTTCTGCAGCGATTGATAAAAGGAGCTTTCTTGTTTTATTTTATTTATTTATTTATTCGTTTCTGCCATTAGGAATGGCATTATGTGGATCTTCTGCCCCAAGGGACATGATCAAGTGTCCAGAGTAGGTATGAGCCTTCATCGAGGGGCTTTTATAAGTATGGCTGCAGACAAACCGTCCGAGGCTAATGTGAGATCTGCATGAGTGAGGGAAACTCAACTCCATCACAAGGACTGCTGGCTCGGCTCTTATGAGTAAAGTGATGGCAGCTCCGGAGCGCCTGCAATTATTCACTGAATGACCTCATGGCATGTAAAAGACACGATGCACTTGCTCATTCAAAGTCTTGATCATTTTATGCAGTTTACAAAAGTGTCATGCTCATTCACATGCACCCCCTCATATTTGTGAGCCAAATCGATTTTGAATAGAACAAAAAAAGTATAAACAAAAAATAAGAAAAAATCCATATACTTTAAATAAATACCTTTTGGTTTTTAAAAAAAAAATACAGTAAAAAATAACATGAATACATTTAAAATAAGTGTTTTCCACTTCACAGTCACCTAAAGGATTATTAGGAACACCTGTTCAATTTCTCATTAATGCAATTATCTAATCAACCAATCACATGGCAGTTGCTTCAATGCATTTAGGGGTGTGGTTCTGGTCAAGACAATCTCCTGAACTCCAAACTGAATGTCAGAATGGGAAAGAAAGGTGATTTAACAATCTGCTTAGTTACTGGGATTTTCACACACAACCATTTCTAGGGTTTACAAAGAATGGTGTGAAAAGGGAAAAACATCCAGTATGCGGCAGTCCTTTTGGTAAATGCCTTGTTGATGCTAGAGGTCAGAGGAGAATGGGCCGACTGACTCAAGCTGATAGAAGAGCAACTTTGACTGAAATAACCACTCGTTACAACCGAGGTATGCAGCAAAGCATTTGTGAATCCACAACAAGCACAACCTTGAGGCGGATGGGCTACAACTGCAGAAGACCCCACCGGGTACCACTCATCTCCACTACAAATAGGAAAAAGAGGCTGCAATTTGCAAGAGCTCAACAAAATTGGACAGTTGAAGACTGGAAAAATGTTGCCTGGTCTGATGAGTCTCGATTTCTGTTGAGACATTCAGATGGTAGAGTCAGAATTTGGCATAAACAGAATGAGAACATGGATCCATCATGCCTTGTTCTCACTGTGCAGGCTGGTGGTGTTGGTGTAATGGTGTGGGGGATGTTTTCTTGGCACACTTTAGGCCCCTCAGTGCCAGTTGGGCATCTTTTAAATGCCACGGCCTACCTGAAAATTGTTTCTGACGATGCCCATCCCTTTATAGCCACAATGTACCCATCCATTGATGGCAACTTTCAGCAGGACAATACACCAGGTCACAAAGCTCGAATCATTTCAAATTGGTTTCTTGAACATGACAATGAGTTCACTGTACTAAAATGGCCCCCACAGTCATCAGATCTCAACCCAATAGAGCATCTTTGGGATGTGGTGGAACGGGAGCTTCGTGCCCTGGATGTGCATCCCACAAATCTCCATCAACTGCAACATGCTATCCTATCAATATGGGCCAACATTTCTAAAGAATGCTTTCAGCACCTTGTTGAATCAATGCCACATATAATTAAGGCAGTTCTAAAGGCGAAAGGGGGTCAAACACAGTATTACTATGGTGTTTCTAATAATCCTTTAGGTGAGTTTATATGTAATTTATTTTAAAAATATATATTACTTGTTTAAACATATTGTATATTTTATTATGCTACACACTATCACTATTAAAATAAAGGTATCCAAAAAAAAAAAAAACTAGTTACGATATACAGTACGCCTCTATATGCAACAGAGTGAGAGAGACTTGGTGAATGAAAGCAAAAGAACAGAAACCAATATAGAGAAAAATTCTGAGAGAATGAGAGAGAGATTTCTCATGAATAACTTATGAACATTTTGATTACCTTTCAGAAAAAAAATGGAAACATTTTGTTTTCCCAGCCAGAGCTAACAAGGCACTTGCATACATTTGAAACAAAATGGCCTGATTGAATTGATCTATGATTTAAAGCCCTTTGCAGCATTTGAATCCATGATGAGCTTTAATATTCCTCTCACAGGATGGCATTCTATCCAAGAATGAGAGCGTATTTCCCTAATGTAGGTGGGCTTTAGAGAACAGCCTGTCAATTCAAAGCAATTTGTGGCACACACACGCCTGCGCTCGCTGTATTGCGTCGCACACATGCAAGAGTACAAGATCCCTCTTTTTTGCCACTCTCTCTCATTCCCTTAATCATAAATGCATCACAATCACACAGCAGAGATGGTAAAGAGAAAGATGGAGAGAAGGGAGGAGAAAATAACACTTCTACAAAAACATCAGCCACAGTGCCTATCAGCAATTATGTAAAACGCCTGTATCTGGCGAAGGAAGAGCAGGGAAATGGAACTCCAGGGAGACCGAAGGAAGCGGCTTGCCACACTCACCCGGAATAGCGAAAAGATCTGGGATTTTCGAGCCCTGCCCGGGCAGTTTGGCGTAAAAGACGTCGGAGCCGGCGAAGTCCACTCCTGGTTTTGCGAACTAAGGGTAGAAAGCAATCTTCCTTCAGACCATACTTTGATTTGATCTGATGCTTAAAGTGTCTACAACCTGCTGATAACAAGAAACAACTGTGTTTCGAGCACAGCTTGTTCTTCCTCTTTTACTCTCTTTTTCACATTTTCCATTGACCTCAATTTTTCATGAGCTGATATGCTTTGTAGCTCCCCAGCGACCGGCACGGTATTGAATTCATCTGGTTCCAATACATCCCATGCACAACCTATCAATCACCAGAGAGCACAGCAAACTAATCATTTATTGATGAAACAGGGCAGCCATGAATTTCTGACTGCAATAGTCTTATTTATCAAGCCAGATCAAACAATGATGATCCAAACAAGCTTTAAAAAAGAGACTTGTGGGGGAATAACTTATTCTTCAGCAGACAGCAGACAGTTATTGATGATGAAAAAAGAAGACTGGGACACTGGAGACAGAGAGAGACAGAACAGTGGGAAGAGGAGTTTAGAGTGATGCTTTGACAGCAGGATGCATGTCTGAATTAATACTCCCACAAAAGGTAATTTTCTTCCAGCAGGCAGTGCATACCGGATCTACCGTTGGGAGCAAGGTGAGCCATTTCTGGCACAGTGAGGGAAAGAGAAGGCTTAATACATTTTTCTCCTGCTCTTGCCACTGTTAGTTGGCTCCATAGAGAGGCAGCATGGGGGTACTTCACTGATCTCCGTCTTCCACTGCTACACACTTCGGGCAATGGTGTTTGCAAGCCCACTAACATGGGGCCTGGGGAATAGCTGGATATTTGTTCTACTCACTTGCTTTTTTAAAGCAAACTCTGCCTGACATCCTTTTGAATTTGAACAGCTGTTGGTGGGCAAAGTAGAAATAAAACAACAGCACTGCCAAAAGTTCTGCTGCAATTCAGTAAGTCAGAATTCAAGTTCATCAAGAAAACTTCACAATCGGAATTCACAACCTGAAAACTTTTGGGGTTTGAGGTTGTTGTGAAAAATAAGATATAATACTATATTACTGAAGGTAAGTGAGTTTTTGAAGAGGTCAATTTTCATTCAATCCCAGCTTCAGACAGCCTCCCAACGGACCGTCTGATTCATGTTGAACAAAACTGCCAACACCACTCAAAAAGCGGCAGTTCCAATCTGATTGGCTGGATACGCAATTTCACTATTCCGTTGAGATTCACTAGTCCGCCAGGAAACAAAGACATGTTTAGAAGGTGCTGGGTTAATACAATGAGTGCTTTCGCAGAAGAAATTACTGGATTTGCCTGGATGTGATGCCAGGTTTATGCCATCCAATCTTTGGAAAATATACTCAAGAGTTTTGTTTGAATGACTCCAGATACATCTCACAAGCAGAACTGTACATTGAGCCTTGTATTTATTTTTAATGGACACAAGTTTCAAAGTCCAAATACATATCTGGTATCTTTGAAGTTTTTTTGTACAACAGTTTGCAGGCTTACAGTGCGATATAATTTATTTTGAATGAATGAGTTTCTATCTATTATTGTGCCATCTATGGTCTCTATTTCAGATAAAACCACATCTAAAAAGCATGAAAAAAAAACAACATGTTGGTCTGACTGACTCTTCGCATTTAAGGGGCCGTTCACACAGAACGCGTTTTTGCTTTGAAAAACTTGAGACGAGGGCAGTGGAATGGGGAAAAAGGTCTCTAGACACGTTTTTGAAAAGTTGAACTGATTTGAACTTGAGCACTGCGTTTTTAGAACACGCGTCATCCGCGAGACGCTGGTTTATACGTGTCCATTCAGCGAGTGTTTACATAGAAAACCAATGGAAAAGTAGCGCATTGGAATGGAACAACGCGTTCTGTGTGAACGGACAGCTAAGTGGGCGATTCTTGACCACTCTTGACCTTCACGCGCCATAAAGTTTTTTTCACTTCCCAAGTCGTAATCACAAGTTTTTCACATTCAGGTGCTTTGTCATTGGAAAGAATACGAATCATGGAGGTACCCTAAAATTGTCATTGCCTTTCACTGTGCTAGATAGCCATTTTGCAGACAATTCTTGAATTTAGGTCCAATAAATACAGTATTCAATGTGCACCAAATGGATATTTGTATATGTAAATATAAATGATTGTAACACCAAGAAATCAATGCAGATGTTGTGTTCTCTCCTCCATGTTTAAGGTTTATTGCCCGTCCTTACTCGGAAACTTGATTATCAAAAAAATCTCAGAGTTTCCCAGTCAGATATATGACTTGAGAGGCCAATCATGTGCAATTTCTGGCATTTATGATAATTGTGATGCTTTTGACGCAAGACTGACAAAAGGCCGGTCGCACACTGTATAATAGTGGTCGCACACTTAAACGAGTGGTCGCACACTGTAGTCGCACACTTATAATAGTCCTTTAAGACTGTTGCTTGTCAGACTGTTGACAAACATGTCTAACTAGCGATCAAAGATTCAGATTTTGGCTTAGGAATCTTTTAGGTTTCTCGACATTTGTCTCAGATGGCCAAATCGTGGCCAAGTCAGATTTAAGTAAGGGAATTTAAAGGTGGAAAGTCTCAGTTCAGTTTGAAAGGTTAAAAGTAAAGCCTACATTTTCCACCAGATAGACAAACAAGACTAATCCAAGGCCCATTTTAATCATTTTAAACAGGCCGACACCAAAACCAGGGGTAAACGGGGTTCAAAACGGTTTGATACATCTGCATGGTATAAAAAGCAAAGTCTCAGGTGACCACTTGTGATGGTGGACAGATCTGGGACAGCATCAGATCAGGGATAGATCTGCTAATATGGATCTTGGATACCAGGCTTACACAAGGCCTAAGAACAGGTTGTAGTTTCCTTTATAATAACTGAATCATGAAAGTAATGGGGGGGATGGTATCTTCAATCCAGAGCAATGTGATAATGACTCTGAAGCCAGGCGTGGAAGACCCCCTGATGTTTCAGCGAAACACTCCCCCTGCCTGTGTAGGACAGGCCTGACAGAGAGCAGCTGGATGGGTGTCTCCACCAATCCCCTCGGGAAAGCAATGTTTCTTCAAAACAGGAAGCCTCCGCAGGGACGGCAGCGGGTCTGACTTGAGCAAGTCATTGGAGATATGAGGAGACAGCTTCGCCCTGCAGTGTCACTGAAAGGGTCTGGGACAGCTTTACAGCCTCTGCATGTCACAGTCACGGATATGTGGCCGCTAGGACAAGGGGGTGTGATCATCTCGGCCGCTGTAGCACTTTTCTACCCGTGCTGACACCTAGCACAACATCTGTTAGGCCAGTTGGAGAGTAAACACAGAATGCTGTGCTACCGCTTTCATCTGCCGGTGCAGTGCCAGCTCTGTCACATGGAGAAAAAAACCCAACGGAGATTTCTAATAATACACAGGCCCCTCCATGCTTTTTACATGACAATAAAATATAGGCTTAAATATATTGTATCGATTGCTTTAAAGATGAGATAGATTCTTCCGTTGTTCAATTTCATAATCAAAATATTTATGATGGAATGACATCATAGGATAATGTAAGCAGTCAGACGGATAAAGAAAGGTGTTTTGGTAGAGGGGGTTGATGGAGACCAAAGTTGAGTCTTTGTCTCCCTCATGTGGAAAATGGAGAATCTGTAGAGAGGATGCTATGAAGAGGAAATGTCATGTTTTGTATTAAATGTATGTTTTGATGTCTATTAAGTTCACCAAGGCTGCATTAATTTCACTGATTACAATTTATAATAATAATTTAAGAATTATTGGAACCAGATGATTTTTTTTTCAGGATTCTTTCATGATTAGAAAGCTCTAAAGCATTCATTTGTTTTCTATTTTAAAATACATTTTAAAATGTAATTTATTCCTGTGAGACTTAAGTGTCACATTATCCTCCAGAAATCATTCTAGTATGCTAATCTGGTGCTCTGGTAACATTTATTATTATTATTATCAATAGTGAAAACATTTTTTGTGGAAACAATGATACCATTCAAACATTTGTGGTAAGATTAAAAAAGAGATATTAATACTTGTATTCAAAAAGGATGCATTAAATTTATCAAAAGTGACAGTGAAAACAACATTTATAATGCTACAAAATATTTATATTTAATAAACGCTTTTATAAATTGAATCAATACATTTAATAAATGTTGTTCATTAAACTTTCTATTCATCAAAGAATCACCATTTCCACAGAAATGTCAGCATTAATAATAATAAATGTTACTTGAGCAACCAATTCGGCATGATTTCTGAAGGAACATGCGACACTGAAGACTGGAGAAATCATGCTGAAAATTCAGCTTTCACATCACATGAATAAATTAAATTTTAAAATATATTGAAACAGTTATTTTAATTTGTAACATTTCGCAATATTACTGTTTTTACTATATTTTTGATTGAATAAATGCAGCCGTGGTGAGCGTAACAGACTTCTTTAAACAAAATAGTAATGTTTCCAAACTTTTGGACAGGTTCTGTTTTAATTGTTATTAAAAAATGTTTTGTAAAGAAATTTAAACTATAAAATATAAAATACAATTATTTTCAAACATAAGCGTCTAGATAATCCACTCAAGATCGAAATGTTCTTAAGATCATGAGAAACAAATGAAATAAAATGCATCAAATCATTTATCTGGTAGTGTTTGAATTACCATTTCATCCTCTGAAGGGAAAACTAATATGTATTAAATTGTTTGTTTTCCTCTCAACAAATACAGATTACGGGTAAATGTAAACAGATTATGGAACAACACCTTGGAATGTAATGACACTTTGATGAGACTTTGATTGCTATTCCATCTTCATTGTATCAAAGATAATTGGCCACTTTCTTCAAATTATTTCCTCCACTCAATGAAGCTGATGAAGCATGAGAAATCAATTAGACAAGTTCTGTCCCCTCTAAAATCAACAGGCAAACAGTTGGCTGTCGTTTCTCTTATTCACAATAACCAGATGTCTCAAACTTTACTTTGGAGAGCTCCGGGTCCCAGTCCACTAAGTGTGTATTTTTTCTCCATCACTTATTTGCCAGGTCTGGCTCTTATTGTAGTCTGGACCATCCCAAAGCATCAAGTCAACACGCACACTATCACAAAACAATTTATCCTCATTCTGTGGGTACAGGGGAGGGTTTCAGCGCCTTCCCCCGGTGAGGGATTTCGGCTCTCACTTGATCAAGTAACACAAACTCTTGAGCGTTGGGACAGTTTGAAAAAGGAGAGGCGAGAAGAACTCAATACCTTCATACAGACAGTGATTGATGAGGGGAATGTACCCGAACCCAACACAGATCAGCCTGATTGGAGACACTCCTGTGACGGTAACATTTTTCTCAAGTATCTGATCTTCAGAACTAATGAACAGTGGTCAATTTATATCTGGTCCCAATTGAAATTTTCTCACTAACTGGATTCAGTCAGAGTGGAAAGAGATGGGTGATCATCAAGATTGGTGTCTTGTAAACTAGTTCAGGACATTAGCTTGGTCCTACATTTAATCTCTATATAACTGTTTAAGACAGCAAATAATACTAATGTGGAAGTCTACTAATGTGGCAAAACACACACTCGTTTTCCCTGTGTTCATCCCTGCCTTCTGAAGAATGAGCCTATTAGACACTGACAGGCAAAATCAATGCCAGCGTTTTCATTAGATATTTAAAAAAATAAAAATTTGCGTATTTTATCTATGAAAGAGTTTGATAATATTATTTCATCATTCTTACCAAAGTTCTGTCTTGGGTTCCTTTTTTCTCACAGGAAGAATGCCATTGTTGATCCTAAAAAAAAGGGTGAAATGGTCACTTCTGTTACAAAAAAATCTGTTATCACATCGACTCATCCTCTGGTTGTTCCAAACCTGTTTGCTTTCTATTTTTCACGGAAACCAATAAAATATTTAAAAAAACAGAATTCTGTTTTATCATGTCAGTTCTGGCATTTTTGTTCATTTATCAGTGCAATTTAAACTAAGCACTTTTAATGTTAATTTAATTAACAATTTACACATATATTCATTTTACTTTACCATTCTAGAATTATTGTCTTTTTTTCTATTTAATATAACCTACCTTTTTTAAAGAATAAAATACTTTTATTCAGGAAAAGTGAGAGTGTTCCAAATTATTTCTATTTCAAATAAATGCTGATCTTTTGAACTTTCTATTCAGCAAAGAATAATGAAAAAAATTTCAGTTTCAGTTTTCAAAATGTGTGTATATATATATATATATATATATATATATATATTCAGTATATTCTAATGATTTCTGAAGGGCCATCTGACACTGAAGACTGGAGTAAAGATGCTGAAAATTCAAAATGCATTTTAAAATATATTAAAATTGCAATAAATAGTTATAATATTTCACAACATTGGTGTTTTTACTCTATTTTTGATCAAATAAATGCAGCTTTTGTGAGCAAGTGACTTCTTTCAAAAACATTAAAAAAATCTTCCCAGCTCCAATATAGCCTCATTTGTTCACATTTCTGCATAGAATCTATCACATGGCCTCAGATGTGGAATATTTTTGTACTTTTGTACCCCATGGAATAAAAAAAACAGGTTATGAACATCAAAAGGTGAGCAAATGGTTGCAAATTTAACTAATAAAAGGGCATTATACACCTGTCATTGCAATTATATTGTCTTATAATCTTCCTTACACATCAGTGAGGCTGTGAATTACAGAGTCACTGTCGAGCCCTCTTGAGGTGTCGTGGGCTAGTCGACGAAACACTGAGGACAAAAGGTGCTTACTTGAAGACCCTAGAGATTTCCCCTCCTCGGCTCAATCCAGACGGTTGTCGTTCTGGTCCACTAGTGAGCTACAATGTACTGTAGTTGCAGCCATCGTGTGTGCTGGTACAGAAGGAGAGTCACATCACCATATGGAAACAATGGAAAAGCATAGTTTACTGTAAAGCTTCATCTTAGTTGGTGCTTACCTTGGCAAAAGCCAAATACAGATCAGTATGAATTTTAACATCTACTCTTGTGCGATGGAAATCTCCTTTGCATGGAACCAGATGATAAGATGGCCCTACAGCAACATAACAGTGGTTGTTCTTCAGCTCATATGCTCCACGTAAAGGCCTCCCATTCAGCATGCACAACCTGAAAGGATAGAAACCGCTCAACATTGTCTTTCATTTTATGCATGTACATTTCATGAATGAAGCACATACCTGTGCACAGCTCCAGTGCGAAGGTGATCTTTCTCGGTCACCATGGCCAACACCTTTTCCCAGCTGACAAGCATGTGTTTTGGAATCAGCACCAGTGCTGGAGGAACCAAGATTGGTAAAAACACTTCAATATAATACCAAATTTGGAACCACACATTGTGCTTCACTAATAATTAACAACATTTGAGAAAATGAGATGCCATTAGACATAAATAATTAGATAAAGCAGAGAACATTGGTCTGATTTTAGACCATTAGACAGCATTATAGACCGTTTTAAAGAATTAGACTTTGCCGTAGCCTGAGGGTTTGCCATTGAAGACTTCCAATAGGGACACATTAAAAGCAGGGCTCACTTGATGGTGCACGACTCATTACTGATTCTATTCCATCGAGCTGGGACAATTATTCTGCTGTGAACTACAGGTTGGATCTGCAGTGGAGACAAATGAACAGGACCCCGCTGAGCATCGCTGACAATAACTGTTCCACTACTCATTTAGGGCACTTGCACATCTGGTTTTCTTCAATTAAATGCTATGCTGGTTGTTGTGCAGACAGAAACAAGGAGCTAAAAGGGTGACAGACAGTGACATATAGTGCCATAACCTCAAGCAAAGTCACTCTAAGTGGGTATTTTTATGATTATTGCTCTATTATGGTCCACTGCATTTGGTCTCTGAGGAAGGTTGTAAAAACTATTAGCTTAATAAGTCACTTCAAATTGTTCAAACTTTGAATAGCACCAAGCCTGCGTTTTCTTGAACCCTATACAAAACGGCTGAGTGCCTAAACTGTTTTTATGCTTGGGGTCACAGAGACCTCAGTGATGAACACGTAAAAATCATCCATTTGGATTACAGTTTTAACATAAATTAATAACATCAATGCGATGTATATTTGTCAGTCATATATAAAAGAAACAGGACAGATTTCTCCACTCAAAAAAAAATCATGGCATAGTTTATTCGTAACTATTTCCATCTATTTGATTTTACTAAATCATATTTGAAAATGAATTTATTTAAATAGCTTAAAATCAGTATAAAAAATTGGAGTATTTTAGTGGCCGTTTACACGACACTGTGTAAAACTTTATATGCGTTTTAGCCGTTCATTTACATGACAACGGCGTTTCGGGGGCTTGAAAACGCAAACATTTGAAAAGGGTTTCAAAAACGATACAACTATTGTCTGTAAACTACAAAAATTCATTGGAACGAATGCGTCAATAGAGCCGCCATCATGGAGCCATCATGGAACAGGGGAGCCCCTCCTCTTTAATGTATAAGCGTCAATGTAGGCAAAGGTCTAATGGAAATAAAATCACCATAAATCGTCATGAATGCGATTTTATAGTTTTTTTGGTTTGTTCCAATGGTTAGACATGTATTTATCATTGAGTCCAGAGAAAATGTAAAAAAAAAAAAAATTTTGCAAAAAATTGAAAAACATTTTAGTTATTCCTAGATTTTGTTCTGGTAAACATCCATACGCAGCACACAACTCTGAAAATCCATTAATTCAAAGTACAGGTAGAGATAGCAGCATTAGCTAGCTACTTTCTATGACAAGACCCCAGTTCCAAGATGGCGGCAGTATTGACACATGCTTAGAACCCCAAGGCGACATCTAGTGAATATATCTATGAGACGCGAGAAAGGGAAAAAAAGGATAGGCGTATAGTTTCTTTACAAAGTGACATCGCCAACTATTGGCCTAGCAGCAGAATACAGCGTTTTTAGTCATTTTTCGTGGATTTATGTGAGTGGGGATTGTTTTGACAATGTTGTTGACTGTATGCGAAAAATACAAAGGAAAAACATTTTTAGTATATTGTTGTCGTGTAAACACCCTAAAATTTTAAAATGTTTTATTTGTTTTGATTGTTCATTTACACGACAATGGTACATTGGGGGCCTGAAAACGCAAACTTGTGAAAACAGCTTTCAAAGTCATTTTCGCGGATCCGTGTGAACTGGGATTGTTTTGACAATGTTCTCATCTGTACACGAAAAACACAAAGGAAAACGTTCCCGTTTTTAGTACATTGACTTCGTGGAAACGTAGACTACCCTTAGATAACAAATATACTATTTTGGTATTGTGGTGGTTATATGCTAAGGCTACTGTTCATTATAGTACACCTTCCTACAGAGTTTTGCTCCAACTTTAATGAAAAGCACCTGAACCAGGGTTTGTATGAAAATTACAAGCAGGTGTATGAGCAAAAGTGGAAATGAAAATTGCAGGAAGATATAACTCCAGAGCAGGTCTGAGAACACTAGTGCTAAATTGTGGCATTGGTAATTATCCAACAGATAAATTTTTCAACAGCTGTAACCACTTTTCATTAATACATAATATAAATAGTCACTGCATTTAGTATAGGAGTAGACTATAGGAGTGAAAAGAACTATTTGTTTACTGAGGTGCATGTGTTGTCCGAATAAAGATTGTAAGCAAAGAGTAAAGAAAGATAGCTTGTAGAAAAGGGAAGGGCGCATTTTGGAATATGACATTACTGTATTAGAAAATGAAAAGAAATCAGAGGGGAGAGCTTAAGTAGCACAAATCATGTGCAAAGAATATGAAGTGAATGTCGACTAAATCATTTACTAAAATAATTTTATGAGCAGTCAGAAAACTAAGCCTGCCCCACACATAGGTTCCCTGTTTAAAATGCAGTGAAACTGCTGACTTAAATTGAGATATCAATACACATTCACTTTATGGTTTTCAGCAACAAGAGGCATGAAACCAGTCATCCATACAGTCTGGAGAAACCTTGCAGTGATATTCTGTCGGAGAGATTCAGCAGAGTCAATAATGATGTAGGATGTGGAACAGCAGTAATGATCATACTGCAAAAATGTTATGATTGCCTCAGATATGCTTTCCCTTTACAGTTCTGATATATTTACTCAGACAAACTCACTGAAAAAAAAAATGATTTAGATTATATTTCAAATATCAAATATAGTATGATAAAATGCTATGGACACTTACCGGTTCACTTTTCTTTTTGTAATGGTTTATATGGTGTGTGATGACAGCTATAAAAGAATAAAGGAGAGAGAAAGAATCTAGTTAACATAAAAAACACATAATATAAGTACTTAAAAAGTATATTAACCTGTATTCACGCTTTGAAATGTAAATTTCATAACAAAGTAAATACATTAAGGCACTGTAGGTATAGTAGGCTACACGGTATTATGGGCCATGTCAAAATTGGCACAAATTAGGCTACACAAGAAAGGACATGTGATAATAATAAGCTTGGCCTATATGTTAAGCCTATGTCTTAATTTAGTCTCTCTATTTACATCAATATCTGTAAAATATTGTACAGTTTATGATTCAAACCCAGATTTTCGCTAAAGATGATGCTTCTCTGTTGGAAAAGACCGTATAACTGTATGTATTAAACTGCTAAAATTATAATTTAATTCACAATTGAATGACAATTTTTGATATTAGCCAAGAGATTCAAAACCTAAAAGTGATTTAACCCCAAACCACATCAGTTCACTTTAATAGTTCCGGTACCTTTATTCTATAATAACTGCTGCATTACCATGTGAATGTGAATGACTTGTTTCAGTTGTTTTCATGGTTGTTTCAGTGTCTCTCTGCTCCGACTTCCACATCCAGTATCTCTCTCCGTGCACCAGCTGCTCCAGATCCAACACCTTATGACCCTTAGGGGTGTAAATGTTTCGCACTTCCCCAAATGGAGCTGTAATGCCTCGAGTGACAGTGTTCAGAAAGCTGTCAAAAGTGAATGATTGGCGTTGATTGGTGACAAACCTTCGACCGGGGTAAAAACCATCTCCGTTCCGGAACACAGTAACCGTTGCGGTTGGCGGTGAATAAAGCCCCCGAGCACCGACCAGCCATTCAAACCAATTCTGCTGTAACAAACGAGGAGGTGAAAACAAAATAAGCACTTGTAAAATAAGAGGGTTTTTTCATGTTCTCGAGACAGCTATGATCTTTTGACGACATTTAGATAATGGTAAACGCAAGAAATGGCAAGTATTGGCCCCTCAACTCCCTTTTATACTAAATGAATCGCCATAACTGTTTCTTTTTCCTTTGTTGACTCTTTAAAAAAAAATTTCCAATCGAGTTTTTGCTGAGGTAATTGGAGATTTAACCTCCGCGCTCAGCCATCTAAAACCATACAACCACTAAACACTTGATTACATTTTAATCAGGATATTACTTACTTACACATGTAGTAGCAGACACTGCGGGACATCTTTTCAAAAATATCAAGTTCCTGGAGGGCCACAGCCCTACAGAGTTTAGTTCCAACCCTGCTTCAACACACACACTTGCAGTTTTTAAATGAGCCTGAAGGACTTGATTAGCTGATCAGGTGTGTTTTATGCGGTGTTTTCCCCCTCACAAGAACATTGTACAATGTAACATCAGTGACAACAAGTGTGTGTGCTACTAGCCTATAGCCTATTATACATGTATCCCCTGTGATCTTTGTTCAATAAAAAAAAAAAAAAAAAACATGCAATTAGCAAAATGACCATGCCATAGTGGGTTGCAATGGGAATGAATTGACACATTTTAATATCCTGTTGAAAGGGACAAACATTTCATAGGCATCTGGGAAATTTAAGAAAGTAATAATATAATTAAAGTGAAACCATTTCATATTATTTATTTAAACTTAAGGTTAGAATTTGCATAGGGTTTATCTATATATATATATATATATATATATATATATATATATATATATATATATATACTGTATATATGAAGAGTTCAGATGCAAAAGCCTCTAAGTGCCATTTGAAATTTTCTTCTAAAATGATCATTTTTATCAAGCTTGTATATTTAAGTTCAGTAATTTCACTTAAATGGCAATGAAGATTACCTATTAATTGTCATTTAAGTGAAATTACTGAACTTAAATACACAAGCTTGATAAAAATGGTCATTCTAGAACAAAATTTCAAATGGCACTTAGAGGCTTTTGCATCTGAACTCTTCATATATATATATATATATATATTACAGACAATTGTCACCATTTAAATGAAAATTCTGTCATCATTTACTCACCTTCAAGTTGTTCCAAACCTGTATGAATTTAATTTTTTTCTGTTGAACACAAAATATGATGTTTTGAATCATGGGTTACAACAACTGTTTGGTTACCCACAGTCTTCAAGACGTCTTTTGTGTTCAGCAGAAGAAAGCAATTCATACAGGACGACAACATGAGGGTGAGTAAATGATGACCGAATTGATGGCAGAAATGATGATATATTTGTGTAAACGGTCTCTTTAAGAATGACTCCCATTTGTCATATTTTTATCAGTCTATGGTCGCAATGTATAGTTTAGCAGAATGTTCCTTGTGCCATTGTCTGTTTGGTCTGACAGTGTAATATAACAGATAAGTTTACACAAGCATGTCACCTAATTATGTTTGTAAAGTTCATAAAGACCTATTAGGAAATATCCAGCACTCTCCATCTTTAAATATTCATGGGGGGGAGGGGGGAATGGTAGCCTATACAGTTTGCCACTTTGCCACAAATTAATCAGATTTCCTGCCTTATGTTATATTTGCATGCATAGTTAATTTCAGGACAGCATGACCTACTGCCAGCACATACACTAAGTGCAGAACGGCAATGAGAGTGTGTGTAGAGCCAGACGAGACCACTAGAGAGCGCCAGATTACAACTATTTTAATATACCTGCACGGCGTCAATAAAAACAGGAAACCTTAAAAGGAGTTATGGAATTTTATTAGTGCCTCAAAAAAACACACATCGAAAATACAGAAAAAAATGACTACTGGACAAAGAATGTTTTAGGGAAAAAATTGTTGTTCATCATGATATACAGATAAAAGTGTTAATTTAGTGTTTATTTACTAAAATAACAGACACATAAAATAAATGCCGTATAATGAATCCCTAATGTATCTATTATGTTTTAGAAATAATTTACCATATTAATTCAGAATACACCGATTTAGTAGGACTAGGAGCAGTGGGAAAAAAAAATCATGAAACTAAACAGTGTTAGTAATTATGATACAATATCATATTTAAAGCAGTATGGGGAAGTTGACAAGAAGTATGGACATAAACTTTATCATTACTGATTACTGTGTTTATTTTTCCATGAATATATTTTTTTTATTAAATTCATCAAGTACTGAGGGAGGACACAACGGAATTTCTTTAGATCTATCATTTCAGGGGACGTTTAATACCACTTTAACACAAAGCAAATAATGTTAAAAATATAATTCAGCTTAATATGATAGGTTGTTTGTGATGGTGATATTTTTTATTTCTTAAATAATATAAGAAATTGTGATCTTATTAATTTATTTTATTTATTATAATAGATAATTAAGAGAGAGAGAATAAATCTATGGAATCTAAAATTGTAAATATGATAAGATAAAGAAAGTTTTGTTTGTCCATTTAATTGATTACATTCATAATTTAATTTAGTTTAGTAAACTAGATGTCCCTCTTATAATAAAGTTGTCCGAGTCTGCAATAACACCTGAAAAATTTAGATTTGTTCATTGATCTGTATAATATACCTGTTGTGTGACAAATACATTTAAAAAGTAAAAAATACCAGATAGTCTCTTAGTTGCGTTTTTTTTTTTTTTTTTTAAAGGCATGTGCAGTATTGTTCACCGCTTTGAGGTCATTCATTCATTATTTTCTTTTTTTTTTTTATACACAAAATTATTACTTTTATTCAGCAAGGACATTAAATTGATCAAATGTGACGGTAAAGACAATTTACAATGTTATAACAGATATATATTTCAAATAAAGGCTGTTCTTTTAAAGGTTATATTTTCACCCATTATATTCATTCAACTGGTTTCAACAATGATAATTATAAGAAATGTTTCTTGAGCAGCATAGAATGATTTCTGAAGGATCATGTGACACTAAAGACTGGAGTAATGATGCTGAAAATTCAGAAAAAAATAATTATATATATATATATATATATATATATATATATATATATATATATATATATATATATATAATATATTCCAAATTTTTTACTCAACCCCAAACTATGTGTATAACCACATTAACTAAAGGTCATTAACACTTCATTTTGACATTCTACTAACAAGTAACTTTGCAACTACATATCAACTAACTCTCATTCGAGTATTGACTGTCTCCATAATTTACGTTTACATTTATGCATTTGGCAGACGCTTTTATCCAAAGCGACTTACATTGCATTTCAAAATACACATTTTTATCAGTTCTTGCTTTCCCTGGGAGTCAAACCCATGACCTTGGCGTTGCAAGCGCCAATGCTCTACTGTTTCAAAAATAAAAAATGAATTCTACTAATGCTTTATTCTCATGGTCCTCCTACAGACATTTAACATGTCTACATGGCAGCTTATAGTGCTAACATGATGAACCCTAACATCTAACTCTAACCTACTAACACTCTGATGAGAGATGACATGGAGTTACTAATAGTTAGTAGAATATCTAAAGTGGACCATTGAGATAAAGTATAAACTATCTGGATGTTGTTTTAAACAGTTTTACATCAAATATAGCATGTCACACTGCTGTGACTGCTTAAAATGTTACATGAAAAATGAGAAAAGCTATAAATGCTGAACCTTTTTCATTGAAATTTCAGCCTTCTTTAATACTAAAGTATTGTATACGCTTGCAATTGACTTTACGCCCAATAGATGCTCCATTAAGTCATACTGTGTCCTTGTCAAACTCACACACAAAGTACATGGTGAGGTGACAAGCTACATCAATCCACTCGCCTGAAGACACCATCTCGACGCAGTCCTCGTCGTCGTAAGCGTTGTTTGGCTCGCCCTCCCTCCACTTGCTGAAAGTGGTCATGGGTGAACGCTCCACATACACAAAGTGGCCTTCTCGCTCCAGGTCGTTGATGCCGATATACACTCGACTGAGGCCAGCTTCGGTGACGTAGCCAGCGATGACTCCGTTAGACGCCTCATCCTTGGGCATGGCCAGGTGTCCACCTCGGCCCTGACAAAACACCTCGGCATCCCTGAAGCGCTTCTCCTCCTTCACCAGCAGATAGACCTTGCTGTCTGTCTCTTTGATGCCAGCGACAGCTGCAGGGGAGGGCAGTGCTGAAAAATGAGGATCTGAAATTCTATAATCACACCGTAGCAGCCAGCATTCACACAAGTGCATTCTGACAGTCAAACAAAAGAGCTTCTGGCGAACGGCTAAATGCTTTTGTCTAGGTGTATTCACCCTGCACATCAAAACGAACAACTGTATGAATCAACTTCACGTTATCGTAATCTCACGAACGTTGGTTGAGAGAGCAAACGGTTCATTCTCTCTTTTGGACATACCATTTTTAATGAACTTCAGCTCACTGGTTAATTGCGCCACTTGAATATCCATTTCACCAATCATTTTCCGTAAGGGTGCACACTCACAGGGGACACCTGGGGAGACAAATGAAACATTAGACCATTCACACAAGCTCTCCAAGCATTAAACTGATTCCTTTTGAATTCAAACCAATTATACTGAAATGAACTTAAATAGGTGGTTCAGAATTTTGGACATCGGGCCTCATTTCCAAGTTATTCATCAGTGGAGACAGTTTTCAAAATTTTTTATCCAGTCATTCCAGTTTCATAGTTCGCCAGTGCTAGGCTAGTGCGAGTCAATGGTAACTGCTAGCCTGCCATTAAAAACAGTTTTACCCAGTCCACAGTACACCAAAAGCAAATAAATGATAACGCCAGACTATCGATGTAAATGAATAGAAAATGTAAATTAAATCAAACTACGCATTGCAATAGTTATACTTTGTTCCCTGTATTTATTAGCACAGCCTATAGTAGCGGCGGAGTGATATATAGTTACCTAGGCAACCGAGAGAGGTAGCGCAAGTAGTTCCGACTGTAGTGCGCTTTGGTTCTGTGTTTACTTCTCAGCGCAGGACTACTAACCGGAGCAAAGTAAAATTCTGCCGCTGCTAAGAAACTAGTTTCTGTAAATGTATTGCAATCAATGAGATGCAAGAGTAGTTTGATTTTTTAACATTATTCTCTTAACAGACATTTACATTGATAGCCTGGGCTGGGGTTATAATTTATTTGCTTTTGGTGTACTGTGGAGTGCGTAAAACTGTTTTTAATGGCAGGTTAGCAGTTACCATTAACTCGCGTTAACCTAGCACCGGCGATGTAACAGGAACGACTGGATGAAAATTTTTGAAAACTGGTAAATAACACTAAGGCTACTTGGAAATGAGGCCCGATGTCCAAAATCCTGAACCACCCCTTTAATACTATTTTAGCAACAGTTACCTGGCTCTCCATTTGGGCCCTTAGGTCCTGGATCTCCCATATCACCTTTTAAACCTAGAAAGATGTACCATTATTAAGCAGTTAGACCAAACAAGTAATCAGGCTACTTTCAGATTTGCAGTTTTTTCACAAGCTTGCCTTTGAGTCCAGAGGGACCCATCTTCCCATAATGTCCAGGACTACCTTTTTGGCCTTTGACTCCAGGGAGACCTGAAAAATACCATAAACTTAATATGTACAAAAATAAAACGCATGGATACGAACCAAAGAATTTAGTAATTCAGTTTAGTTTGATAAAGGGTTTTGATTCCCTTGTTTATCAGTATGTTGAATCGTTAAAGGCATTTATAAACACAAGTCATTCTCCTGGCTCACATGAGCTCAACTGTCTAAAAGCAAGATAAGGGAAGTTTTAGGGGCTCATTAAAGTGTACACAATTGGCAGCTCCCCTTTTTGGTTTGAAAACTTTGCAATTTCTTTGACCATCAAAAACTTCCTTACAAGTTGATATAGAACTTGAATCATGTACTGTAAGTAGTAATTAAAAAGCACCTCTCAAAAACGTTTAGTATTACCTGGCTCTCCAGTTGGCCCTAATCTCCCAGGTCTCCCAGGTGCTCCTTTCTCTCCTTTCTCTCCTGCTTCACCTACAGTACATGACAACAGGAACATTTTAAACAGTAAAAGACAAACCTAACATATACTGTATATTTGCACTGTTGTTGCAGTCGTATGTATACTGTGCACAGAATGCACATTTTCTGTATGCACTGAATAGGCTACCATTATGACCTACATACTTAATATGTACAAATATACTGTATCCAAGAGTTTAATCCACACAATTTGATGATTATAGATTGCCAACAGTTAATATTGTGTTCAAGTCCTCCTGGGAAGTTCGTACATGCGAGGTCGGAAGTCGTGTTTACGACGGCAGGAGCGCTCAAGTCACTTTTGCCGGAAAAATATGGCGGTGTACTTTCTCATAATTAATTACACAAAAAATTCTTAAACTCTAGTTCTAGAAAATGGAGAACAAAGAAATGTGCATCAGGTGTGCTTTGCTTTTTTATGTTTTTAATTATTTATTAAGCCATTCCAAACTTTATCGTTACATATCATGTTGTTATATTGAAATGCCATCATATTGCATGCAAAACTCGTAAAGATCGAGGCTTAAAGAAAAAGCTTTCCACTCATATTTACGACATTGTGGTGGTGTTCATGTGCGTTCAACTCATAAATACGATCTTCAAGAGATGACTTGAAATAAATAAGTCATTTTCATACAAAACTCTAATTATAAATATATACCTGTAAAACGATAGTAGGCCTATTATTGGTGACTTTTGTTACAAATATTGTATTTATTGTAACAAAAATGTGTTACTATATTGTTACAAAAAAATGCTACTTTCTAATTTGTACTTTCTATTCATCAAAAAAAAATCCTAAATAAATAAAATACAAAAAAAAAAATTATGCATCAGAACTGTTTTCAACATTAATAACAATAGGAAATATTTCCTGAGCAGAAAATCAGCATATTATTTAGAATGATACAAGACTGGAGTAATGATGCTGAAAATCCATCACAGATATAAATTGCATTTTAAAATATATTTAAACAGTGAAGAGTTATTTTGGTAACACTCTATTCTGATGGTCCCTTTTAATTGTTAACTATAGGTAACTTTGCAACTACATGTCAAATAACTCTCATTAGTAGACTGTCTGCTTAATATCTGCTAACTCTTTATTGTGATGCTCCTCCAACAGACATTGTACTGACTATTAGTACAACTACATGTCAACTTATTCTAACCCTAATCCTACCAGTCTACTAATACTATACTAATACTCTAATGAGAGTTAGTTGACATGTACTGTAGGTGCAATGCTACAATTTATCAAAATAAAGTGAAACCTTAATGTTAATTTGCAATAATATTGCACATTAACTGTTTTTGCTGTATACATGATCAAATAAATGTATTAGGCCTACATTTGATTAAATTGTGTCATTCGTGTGGATGGCATAATGTGGTGTAATTTATATGTAGTACCTTTGAGTCCAGGGACAAGGATCTGGACTGAGCATGGTTCTTCTGGCATGTGCTGACCATAAACTGACCTCATTAGTGTCAAACTTAACATGCAAGCCACCATCTTCTCTCCACCCATACTGGAAACAGAACATTCATGATCGTCTACAGTCAAATACTAACACAAACTTCAATGCCATGTTGATTGGAAAATGTAGAAGCAGATTATTGTATTCATTCACAAAGGCATCAGTGCTCATAAAATGGAACTCAATAACAGAAGAAGTCTTCACAGTCAATTAATATCGTGACATTCAAGCTACTGTAGTCGGTAACACTTTACAATAAGGTTCATTAGTTAACATCAGTTAATGTATTTACTAACATGCACTAACCATGAGCAATACATTTGTTACGGCATTTGTTCATCTTTGTTAATGTTAGTTCATGAAAATACAGCTGTTCATTGTTAGTTCACGGTGCATTAACTAATGTTAACAAGATTTTAATCAAGTATTAGTAAATGTTGAAAATAACATTAACAAAGATTAACAAATGCTGTATATGTGCTATTCATTATTAGTTCATATTAACTAATGCAGTTAACTAATGTTAACTAACGAACCTTATTGTAAAGTGTTACCCTATCATACCAACAGCTTAATACACAAAAGAGCATATACAAAATGTATTTTTTCCTAAACTATCTCACCGGCCACCTTCATTTCAAAGTCGACACTAGAGAGTAAACAGTCACACCAAGACGTCTCCTGTAACTACCGACTTTAACATCCGAGTCGTCTCGTTGTTGTATACCACCTGCAGGAAAATGTATTGCTTATGAAACGGACTTACCTTGTGTTGAATTTCAAAGAACACTATATATTATGCAGCAGTCCCAGCCAGTATATGGATCCAAGTGAGTTAATGGAGGTTTTCTCACTGGTGGTCTCTCTGAAATTTCTCATCACACACCCTGCAAGAAACAGGCCTGAGAGTGAGCAAGTACGTGTAAACACAAAGATAAGAGCGGCTCTGCAACACTCCTCTCTGATATGGGAAATTTCCATGGGAATATATCAGTGTCAGAACGAGGCTTAACACATTCCTCACAAATTAAACATCAAAAGCATTCCCAATTGTCACAAGTTTTAGTTAAGTTAAGGAAATAAATTAAATGAATTATTTATATAAAGTTTTTTTTTTAGATGCTAAAGCCAATCATCATTTTATCTTCACATAATGTATTGCAATTTAAATGAGCAGAAAACATGGGAATTACAAAGAAGCATGAGAAAAGCTTGGGAACAGAAATGCTGCAGTTTGTGCATTGGTGCACAGGGAGGCAGTAAATATTTGCTGGAATTCCATTTGGAAAAATCCAGAAAAATGAATGGACTTCTTGTGCTGCATGCACAATAATGATAATAATAATTGATTTAAAAAGTGTATTGTAAAAGCCATTATCAGACATTTATATATTAAATTATATTGTATTATGTATGCATATAATGTATAATAACTTCTAATGTTTTCATTTATTTACTGTTTTATTATTTTGCTTTTATCTTTATTTTTTTTTGCTTTTATTTATTATTGTTCTGAAATGAACAATGTTTTTTTTTTCTTGGTTGCACTATAAACCCCAGAATTCATTTTCTATAGTTGCACTGTACAAATGAGTCACATGCCAGTAATTGACAATGAGGATCTGATCTACATGTCCTGCTATTAATATTATTCACAGTAAACAAAAAAAAAAAAAAAAAAAAAAAACCATTAAGATGTCATTCACCTCCAGAGCTCTATTGTGCTGTGGTGTGTTGCTAAGGAATATCCTTCCCTTGGTAACAAAAACTAACATAACGTGATGGGGTGGGGGGGGAAATCGATCCCTTGAAATTGAAATTGCGCTGAAGCAGTTCTCACTCTCACACATAGCACTACAGTGACACTGCAAGCTGAGGAAACACATCTTATTTGTGTATGTTATAGGGTCATGGTTATGCCTTTAAATGTGGCAAAAATGTCCCATACTGTGTCCACTGCATATATACCGCTCAAAAATTTGGCACCAGAAGGATTTATGTTTTTGAAAGAAATGTTTGATGCTTACCACGGCTGTATTTATTTGATCAAAAACAAATCTGCTATTTTAAGTGTAATTTATTCCTGTGATCAAAGCTGAATGTTCAGCATCATTACCCCAGTATTCAGTTGCTCTGCCTTACTACGTTGACGCAATTGTCTTCTAGAAACAAACTTTGTTGTATTATTTTCATGTTATCACTGTGAAGCTGCTTTGATACAATGTATTGTAAAAAGCGCTATATAAATATATATAAATAAAGGTGACTAAACTTGACTTGACCTTTGCGTTCGCTCTCAAAAACCCTATGAGCTCTTTGCAGTTTCTCGGCCGAACACAATCGTTTAGCGAGGGAACGCGAAGTTCCTCTCGGGAACGCAAAACATTTGCGAGAGAACACAAAAGCGTTGACAAATAATCTCATTTTTCTTTCCATCGCCATGTCCCTTTAGGGGCTCCGTACTGACATTAGCACATCTAAATGCTTACAGTAGATTTAAATTCTCCTTAAATGGGAACTTTTTCCTTTCTTTCAATGATAGCTTAACCCCCTCTTGTTTTGTCTGACTTTGCCTTGACTCTGAACCGGATAAATTCTGAATTTAAAAAGTGTGCTGTTGGATGTTTTGCTCTTGTATTCTGCTCCACTAAGGCTAAAAGCCCTCTGTGGATGAGAGCCCGGAGAGAACAAACCTTGACCAGCGGAGCATGACAGTCATAGAGGCCTGTCTGGCTTAAGGGCACCTTCAGAAAGATGGCACTTTGTGCTGTGTCAGGATCAGGAGGTTGGCAGGCGTCTCAGCCGTCGGACGTAATGCCCATTCAACCATCTCAGCTCATTAAAGGAACTTATTTTCTTGAAAGATGAGTGAATAAATCACACTGTGCAAGGGTGTCAACTTGAACAAGTTAATAAAGGGATGGTAGAAATAAATCATGCATTGCAAGCAACCTTTGAGCTCAATAACCTGCATGATGTAGTGCTTTAGAATACCTGTACTAAATAAAAAATAAATAAAAAAAGTTTATATAATCAGTTATATGAATTTTGTTCACCTTTTCTATATCTATATTTAACTTTTTTATTTAATATGCAAATGCATGATATGATTTAAAAAATGATACTATATAGGCTTTTAATAATGTTTTAAGTGTCTTGGCTCATCTAGATGTTTCTCTTTCCTACACCTCCACATTACGCAGGTCTCTTCTTCACAATATGCCTTGTGTTCACAGTCACACATTTATATTATGTGTGCTATGAGGGCTATTTTAAGCGCAAGAGGAAAACAAAAGCCATTAAGAAACACAGTGAGCAATAAGACAATACCTCTTATTGTTATTAATTCATGAGCTCATATGTGTCAAGCTAAAGTAGATACATTTTTTACATAAGGGTAGTTAATCATAATGTCCATGGGTCAAGATTTTAGGTTAATATATTCAGACCTAATTCAAATCCCCATTAGCTTCCACAAAGTGGTTGCTAATCTTCCTGGGTCCACACAGCAATACAAGAAAAAAACAAACAGATAAAATAAAACCAAGAAATAATTACACTAATGATACTGGATTACCTTATAAAAATAGCAGTCGTAAATGTAGTTTATCCTTCAGTAACAGCAATTATAATTTTCTATGCATATCAATAAGATTGGCCTCAACTGGATAATGAAACACTAACCAAGCTGCTCTGTTCTGAGACACCTGAAGTTTTTTTTTTTTTTTTCTCAGATGCACTTGACCATATCATTGGGCAGTACTCAAGATGTGATAAAACTAACGATTGCACCACATCTTTTAAAACCAAAGATGGAAGAAACACAACATTTCCTGGCCACAGCTACACATCAGACCAAGACAGCATACTATTAAGTTTCACGCCCAGAAACTTAACACTTGAAGTTTCATCAATAAATAAATTAATCAATAAAGACATCAACCTTGTTACCAAAAATGATACATTTGGTTTCATGTTTAAAATGTATTCATTAGTTCTAACACAGTTTGCAATTGTCTGCAACTCCTCACTTAAGTTGTTCTGAAGCTCAGTCGATGTATGTGCTGCACTAAACATTGTCGAGTCATCTGCATACATAACTAAATTAGCATTTTCAACAACACAACAAGGGTAAATCATTTATAAAAATAGAAAATAAAAGTGGACCTAAACAACTTCCCTGTGGAACACAGCAGTAAGTATTTTTGGTCCATTATAAAATACATTAGAAAGATAACTTCCGATCCACTAACAGCCATCAAGGGCTGTACATGAAAAACCATAACATTTCAGTTTGGCAACAAGAATATCATGGTCAATAACATCGAAAGCTGCTGTAAAAGAACAGAACCCACCCGTTTCTTATCATCTAGACATGTAAACATCCATCTGTCATGTGCATAAGAGCAGTAGAGTGCCCTGGTCCATGTTGTGCATTAGCAAGTAATCCGTTTATACTAAAATAATGTAAAAAAAAATGCTTAAAGATGATCTTCTCTAAAATCTTACTCAAAATAGGCAGTATACTAATACTAATACTATTGACTAGATTTATATTAATTTAATCAAATATAAATAATTTGTTTAGTATTATAAAACATAATATTCAGGAATTGAAAAAGTTCCAACTAAGATATATGACACACCTGCCAACCATATCAATGGATCATTTATTATTACCATTAACAAAAAAAAAAAAAAAAAAAAAAATGTTGGTAACATTGGTAGTCATTACTGAAAAAATGTTCCTAAGAGAAGCCTTAAATATGAAGTCTGCATGATAAAACAATATATACATAAACACACACCTACTCAAATAGGATTTACAATGTGTGTGTACGTGCGTGTTGTATATATTGTCTCATCGACTACCAATACATTATTTTTCTCTTCAGTTCTTTTCTTCATTTTGATGTATGCAATGTGCAATGGCACGTGAAACACTATATGATGTGTAAGTGTGTGCGATCACTGTGGCGTGTGTGCACAGAAAGCGATGTATTTGGTCTTGATATAAAAGAAGATTACTCGCTGCATTTTTATATTTCTCAGACACACTGCAAAAATCATCAGAATATCAATGAAGTCAGAGTCCAACAACCTCACACCTGCCCCAATGTGTGCCACGAGCCATTACATTCTCACACAGAAACAGAAAGGAAAAGGACTCTTTCATCTAAAAGTGTTCCTCAGAAGCATGCCCTCCCATTCATGAAAACGACATGCAGTGAATTCTGTTGCCTTGAGGAATTGCTCATCAGCCCGGATTTATTTCCCTCCGACATGATAATGGTGCTTTATTGCTGCATTGTAAACTTTTCATAGAGACCATAGCGTTTATCTTTCATCTGATGACTCGACACAAAATTACATTGCAGTGTAGACACAATGCCTAAATCGGGAGCCAGGATATTAGCTGCCGGTGCGCCGGTGACAGATCTGGGGGACCATGCGTTTGATATATCATTTCAGCAAAAACCTTCAGGTGAAGCTGTGCCTTGATGAGTCATCATATAAATAAAGAATAGAGAAAGAATGAGGGAGAGGGACAGGTGAAGAAAGAGGGCAAACATCAGGCGCCATGAACATATGGAATAGATGACTTTCATATTCTGGGCTCAGTATAAGTTATGCTCAATCAGTATTATTTGTGGCATAATGGTAATGCAAGGTCACAGTAAGTCACTTACAATGGAAGTAAACAGGGCCAATTTCTGTATCATTTAAAAACAAATTTGAAGCACATCATTTTATAAAAGCACTTACATTAATGCATCTGTGAAAACTTGTGTATTATTTGAGCTGTAAAACATGTGTTTTAGGCATTATGTTGTCATGGTAAGTCATAAAATTGTGTATAAAAATAATAGTTTAGTTTAGTTTTACA